AAATTTAACGAGGTCCATCTTGCAATAAATTTTACTAATGAGAACGAAAAAGACTCTAGTATTTGATTTCTAAGCTTCCTTATGACCAGAAAAGAGGATGGCACAATAAGAAGAAGTGTATATATAAAACCTAAAACAACGGGTCAGTATACCACTATCTCAGCTTCGTGCCCTTGAAATACAAACGCAGTCTGATAAAGTGCTTGGTCTTCCACAGAACAAGAGCAATCTCCTTGGGTGAATGTCTTGATGGGGAACTTCGTAATAATAAACGGTTGCTAAGTGAAAATGGTTATCCAGAAAAGTTTATTGATAAGAATATCAATCTAAAATCAAGGCAGTCCAAAGTGCCAACAGTTCCAAAAAAGCCTTATTCTTAAAAGTGCAGTTCCTTGGGGACAACATCAGCGAGATACTGACACGGCGATTTTGAAATGCGGTAAAAAGAGCATTTCCTGCTGCAAATTATGGTGTGTCTCCGAAACCACTCCACTTTTATATTCGTAGCTCTATTCCATCTCACCTTGTAGATACAGAACACAAGATTGACGTTAACCACGCATTCAGGGTTATTTACCACATGCTTACGGATCTCAGTTTTACCTTTTTTTTGATTACAGCTTGATTCCACACCGTATTTTTGGTACAAGTATGGAATTTTCAGCGTGGATATCGATAGCCCAAAATTTGCAGGCCGACCATAGTTATCAGGTGTGCGTCGGCGAGGGCTCGAACCCGGGCGAGCCACCGACCTTATGAGTTCGACTACTCAATATTGCTGAAGCTGTTGGGATCCATATTAAGAAGCTTAATTTGTGAGTCCAAAAGAAGTTAGTTCAGATATTATCCTCACCTGGGCCATCTAGGTTTGAATGATCCTGAATTTTTTAGGAATTTTCCTAGTTTAAGTTGATATTCTATTTGCTACTATATCTTTATTATTGTTTTTATAATTAAGCATCTTTAATGAACTGTAATACCATTGGTCTTAATTTACAAAGCGATATTATTTAAAAAACACTAATATTGATATTGACTACCAATCTAGAATATTCTATGTATATAAATGTATACATAATTGTAGAGGTAGAAGAGGAATTTATCGAAAACCATATTCTTTGCTCGATTATTTTGTGTTTTACAGAATAATTAGATCAGTATTCACAAAATAGGTGTAAACATATCGCAATGACTTTTACTCAGAAATAATATGTTAGAATACGAGGCTGATTATCAAAATGACCTTTTTAGAAGTGTTTGAAGATTAAGACAGAAAATTGTCAGGTCGTAAATAATTTGAAACGAAACAAAAAGTATTAAAGATCAAACTTAATTATGTGAATTTCGAATGAATCAAAATCACAGTTTGCAGATTAGTTAGCAGTCTGCAACATACGCAGTTCCAGGGATAAAATTTCACTGAGGATTCCATTGGAAACCAAATTATACAGATCACAATATATAGTGTCATTGATATCATAAATGGCAATCAAAAGAGCAAGCACATTTGTATAAGAGTATGTACTACTGATTGGCTGAGATGGGTATTTGTATACTGCTTATATCAACCAGTATTTCTTTCTAGTTGGCTTACTCTCTCACAGTGTATCCATATTCTTCAAATGTGCGGTAAGATGTTCGCCAATCACTCTGGGGGTCGGAGTTCGATCCCCGGCCGATTCATTCCTTCAGCTAGCTAAGCTAGTAATTAGATTGGTATAGAGGGAAGGTTGGGCACGAGGCTAGCTACCCCATCCCGTAAAAATAAGCACCACTGTTATCAAAACTTCAAGCCTCTGCCTTGAAGCCTCATGTTACACTGAAAGCCTAAAGGACTAAATAATAATAAAAGAAATTTCTCAAATGATGCGCATTCTCGCTGATTACTTCTTGTACGTCTTTTATTATTGGAATTTCGAGGCACGTTTATAAGCAGTTAAAAAGTAATGGAAAAAGGTTCAAGAAAGAAGCATAAGCATTAAAAAGATGTAATAGTAAATAGGTTGTCAGATAAAATAAGGAACATTTATAAAAAAAATTGAAAATAGTTGAAATATGGATGCCCAATTTGTGGACCAACTTATTTAGGACACTTAGGTCAGGCTTCTTCATGCGGGTCCACATGGTTTCAGTAATATACAATACACGAATTCCTGAAGTAAAATTGAGATTAGTCAGAATATGGTAGATATCTTCGAAAGCATGTTTAGCATCAATTTTGTGTCGTCTATCCACAAAATAAGAAATATTAGAACTATGAATGGATCTTTTTTATCCCTTGGTCAACCACTCTGGATGAGGATCGAAAGTTTGATGATAAAATCAAATTAATTGTACTCCTTTTGTGAGTGGCTTCATGGAATCAGTCAAACTGATTGGCGAGGCAAAATTACGTACGGGTGCTTACGAAGAGACATAGTACTTTAGAGGTAGTGAATGCCTACTTTGCCGTATTTCTTAAAAGTAGAGTTATTAACTCACTGATGTTATCGTCGAGGAGGTGAAGGTATAAGAACAAGACCTTCTTCGAAAATACTGGCAGTTCGCCTTACCTTCGATAAGATTCATGTCCTTGTCAATGAATTTCTCTGTGTAACCATTTGCAAACATTAATCGTTTGATTCTGTTGAGTCCTTCATGAGGACATTTATCAAAGTAGAGTGCTGTTGCTCTGTGAACTAATCACCTTGTTAGATTGCGTTTTTAGTTTAAGGTTGCGAATTTCAGAAATGAGTGTGCTGACCAGTAGTTGTTGTATGTTTTCTATAGGAACTTATGATTTTACCATTTTTCTTCCTAGTCATAAGGATATCTGAGAATGAGATACTAGAGTTTCTTTTTTTCCCGATCGTAAAATGTTTTGCGGTATGCACAACGTTATATTTGCCAAGGATGTTCTTTGCTTCATTCACATTTTTTTTCGTAATCAAAAATGTCTCATCCTTGTAATGACGATAGATCTCCCGTTCACCAGTTACTTCTTCCAAACGGTCCGTTCTCTAGTTTTACAAGGAAAATTTCAGTTAGAATTGGGTTGTATTTGTGATACCAGAGGGACACTATCAATTTAGAATTCCTTATTAAACAGAAAATGGATATTTATTGTGCAACTCCAAAGAAACTCTGTCATAAATGATATAGGAATGCTAACATCGAAGTTTTGTCTGATAGTTTCTTCTGCTCACTTTATCCTGTTTAACTGGTTGTTCATATATAAGTTAATCCGTATCGCTTAAAAATGTCTCTTGAACTTGACTTCCTTTATTGATTGATTTAGATGAGCAGTTGTGTACTACTTACATCAATCAATATTGTTTGTTGGCTGTATCGAAGTGATCTAAACAACAGACGCATGTTTCGATCGTTAGAGGCCAGGTTCATCAGCGGTGTACCCAGCCACATTCAGTTCAGAGAGCCGAATCAATTGAAGCCGTTCGATTTCTGGCTAGTTCATCGAGTGAAATGGTTACACTATAAATCATACATTTTTTGCCATATCTGTTGAACAATTTAACAATAAACAGTCCAGTATCAAATATTACCAGGTTTTGCTATAATAAATGTTACCTTGAGAGCTACTGATAAAATATCCTGATATCCCATATGCATCACATGAGTGATGGCTAACATGTCGGTAGTGTTGAGCATTTTGGAGTGAATTAGAAAGATTAGTGAGTTAGTCTGAATTAAAAGAATATTTTTGAGGGAATAAATAAGCATTAATGTCAACCCACTAGGGTTTGGACCCCGAACTCTGCTGTTTCAAGGCAAGCTCGTATACCATTCAACCACTAGGACCCATGTATTCTGACTTCTACCATTTCGTGATTTAGCGCGACCACCAGTCGTTATTATCAGTGGGGAATCCATCCTCACACTTGACTGGATGGACCTCACTGGTTGCGACTTCTCACTTGAACTCCAGGAAACTCCGTCCTGTAGCAACTTACTAGTGGACATCAAATTAATTTTCAAGCGTTCGGTTTGTAAGGATTAGATTTGTTTATACGAGCTTGACTAAGTTTGAACCCCAGTGGGTGCGTACTGCCGATGATTCCTAAACTAGGATGAAACAGCAGCTGTTCAGTACTCCCTGGTTTTCAATGGTTCTCTAGTTGATATCAATCCGTGATCAAACTCGTGTAAACAAATCTAATCCTTACAAACCCAACTCTTGAAAAATGATTTTTACAATAATAGGAAATTTCAAAAACTACTTTCAGATCAATTTTAAGATTGGTGTCAACATTATCGCCTTAGTTTGAATTATTATATTTTCGTCCCGAACAAAAACACAGTAGAGAGATCATTGAAACTCATCTAGAAACACTGAACTCCTCAACAGCATGCATCCACAGCCCCAGTAAGGACAAGACTCTGGATCTTCAGGTTGTTAGACCAGGGTCATTGTCCAGTCAGCTACTTGAGTTGGGTTGTAACAACACCTAAATTCTAACTTTGCCATCAGTGAGCTGGCGGTTGATATCAACATCATAAGATTTATGAGGATTTTGGATTAATTCCATCTGTAAGATTTTTCCTTACAAGTCGTCAGTAATCTCATTATCTGAATATCAATCCCTAGAACACTGACAGTTATTGGATGTATGTCCTGAAGTCCATTATATTAAGGTGAAATGGTTACACATAGAATGCACTGATTGAGGATAGCGCCGTATCACAAGCTGTCAAGGTAACAATTCACGAGTCTTTGTATTCCGGTATAAAGTGCTGGATGAATCGTGGAATCGTGGGTGCACAATGTGAAGAGTCTCGAGATGGAACGAAACCTATGCACCACGTTTATTTGTTTCACTGATCTTTCTAACTGATGCAGAATTCATGACAAAAATCTGCCAATCAGTCCAAAATCCTCACAAATCTGATAATCTGATTCTGCCTTAATATGAAGGAGATTAACAGATTACTACACGTGATTGATGGAGTATGGGAGTTTAATTTGTTAATTTACAAATATATAACACACATAAATAACTCACTTTTTCAATGGACAGATATTCACATCATCATCATCATCATCGCCATTATCTAGTGGATCTACATCCTGCGAAGGTGTATAATCGGCGCATACTTTCGGTGTCAAAGATACTAAGACTATCAGTAAACATCATTACTTACCAGTAATACATATTAGTAGCATCTTCAAAGTTAAACGAACTAGATGATAATTCATGGTGTTATAAAATACGTATGAGACTATTTTATGAGCAGCTGCACAGTGTATTAATTGAGTCTCTATCAGATTTATTGGGGTGTCTATTTATACCTCAGTTTTAGAACCAACTAACAATATGTCGTTCCTATGGTGAATCTATAGCAAATCCAAACTACATGTTCTTACATAGACACAGTGGTGGAGAGAAAAAGATAAGATGCTTATTTGTTCTTGAATATCTGGAACAAAGACTATTTTTCACTCATCATTGTTCATTGCGTTTTATGAACAATGAAAGAATTAATTATTGTTCTTCAGCGCAAAACGCAAGAACAAGAATCACTGTGTTCCGTTCTGTGTTTTTTGAAGTAGTGTTGTGAATTTTACATAGGTAAATTTGTCTGTTAATTAGCCCTATTATATACTTAAGAATATTATTACATCTTAGTTACAGTATCTGGAGATAATCTGAAGACATTGTTTAGTTTAATTATTGCCTGTTTCAGCCTTGTGCCACCAGAGTCTAACTCTTTATAACTATATGCTTCTGAAATGAATATCAACATTTTTCAAGTTTTGGTTTTGTAGGGATTTTTCGCTTGATTGTTTGGAGGATTTCATTATGAGCTGACATCTGTTAGAGAACCACTGGAAACCACCTGGGAGTACTGTACATCCGCCTCATCAGCCTAATTTGGGGTTTATCATCAGTACGCACTCATCCACCGGGGTTCGAACCAAGGACCTTCTGTTTACAAGGCCAGAGATTTAGTAGACTATTAAGCCATATCGATTTACAAAGCACTACAAAGTTATTCTACGAGATAATGTTTATTCTGTATACAGTTGCGATGAAACACTAATCGTTCACGCTTAATTCAAATTTTATATCTCGGATTTAGAAGACCATTCAGAAGTCTTATAGTATCTTTCGGCAGCCTTCATTTGACAAAATTAAAACGATTAGTCCCTTCGATAAATTTGATTAAGGCATTTAGAAGACAAATTTGTATGTCTGTGAACTTAAGGTTTTTCGGACAAGAATAAATATTAGTTAGGGTTATTGTTTACGTCGTCAAAATTTTTCTGAAAATATGGTGAATAATCAGGTTGTAACAAGGGAGGTTGATATGAAAGAAATCTAGAAAATAGGATGTTAATGAAAATGCATGGATACAAGTGTCCAAAACGAATTATATAATAGGCAGAAAGAGTACATAAAGGGTTGGTTAAGAAAATTTCCCCGAAATGTCTTATAAAAATCCGAAAATAGCATTAGTAACAAAGTAGTAGAATTTGGAATTATACCCAAGACAAGAGAGGGGTATGGAGAAGTTTCTTCTGCATATATAAATCAGGGTTTTCCATGCAGATCTCTGAAGTCTCAGCAATGCAAAGTACGCAGAAGTTTACAATTTTCGAGAGGCTTCATTTGACGGTGTAGATGACTTTGAATGAATTCTTCTTACATATTGAGTGACCAGTGTTGATTATGTGTTCAACTATAGCACTTCCACTGTTAACTTTTCTCAAACAATCAGGATAATGTTCTCCGACTTGTCTATCTTCACTGAACTGGCCATTGAATTTTGTCATTTCAAACGGACCGATACTAGCATAATCACAGCATAAGACAATGGGTTCATGGACGTCCCTTTACTGTGGATGACAACACCAACGACGACTGACTGATACAAGTTGATGAACTAAGCGGTGCATCATAAGCTGTTGTTGTTCGACCTTTAGAAGGTTGTATAACCGCAGGATTGCCACCACTCCTACCTTTTATGATTAGCTTCAGTTTATCATTAACATCTGTTGATAGGTGGACTACGCGCGGATGATTTGAACCGACTGTCTCACCAGTATCCATACTTTCTACCGGCTCATCTGTCTTTAATTCTACTTCCCGTTCAAGTTGTACAGAACCTTTGTTTGACTCAGTAGTAGTAGGCATTCCGCTCGTCTCATCATGCTCAGCTGAAGATAAATGTACACCATCATGATTTATCACAAATATTCACTTTACGCTGTTTATATGGTCGGCTTCATCATTTTCAACCTCTTTAATAACAGTAGTAGATGACTTGGAGTCTTTCTCATATATCCCTATAGGTTTTATATCTTTACTCTGACTAGGAATAACTTGTAAACTTGTGGAGTCAGAACTGGACTCTGAAACTGTACAAACTTCGATGCCGTCTGTAGCTCGCTATTTAACAACGGCTTATCAGTTGCAACTACAGGCTTCTCCACAGCACCATCCTCGTCACACGATTCAGAGTCAGAACTTGATGACGATGACTTCATATTTTCCTTACCGATGAAATTGTTCACTGCTTCATATTCCACCTTTTTACCTTCGACGGACTACCCTCTTTCCGCAAAACTATTTTCGTGGGATCCCTTACCATACATATCACCAAACATGCGCTCTATACTCACATCATTGTCAGTAACCAGGGACGATAATCGGGTGTTCGAGACAGGCCTCCTTATAGCCTACCCCAGTGGAGGTTTAGTAGCGCATAGATCCTCTTTATCTCTGTGCCTTTCTTCTAGTATCTTATGTGCAGAAGCTACAGTGCATCCAACAAGTAATTTTACCTTGTTATCTTGCAAATCGGGGAACACAATATCGGACAGATGTCGTTTATTACTAACTACTTTATTACTGGGCATTTGGCTTCACCAAGGTTCAGGCTGGGGGTAATATACGCAGTTGTAACCTTAATGAATTCCCACGTTACCAAGGAGTCTAACCAACAGGAGTCTCGTTCACACGTTAACCTGTCCGAAGAACTGACTGTATTCATTACTAAAGGTCCTTTAAATACCCAGATGCCTAATTGTTCAGCTAAATGAGCATCCAACGATGTGACCTCTGATCCATTATCCAACAGTGCATAAGTGCCACCAAGGATTTTAGACCTCACACTTTATCTGGTGATATCCCTAAATAAATTCGTACGGTGTCATTAGGTCTAAAGGTACTGTTACAATGAACGGAATTCGCCGGATTGCTTACTATCCTCAAAAAGTGGATGCAGATCTGTTGAACTGCTACCTCCTTTGTCTGTTGCCTTAAAGTTCAACCTTGTGTGTGCCACCTTTAAGCAACTAAAACACAACCGCTTCTGCTTTGCCATTCTCAACATTTCTACAGTAGAAATGAAACGATTACAATCACTAAACTGGTACGCGTTATGGCAAATGATACCCTCTTCCTTTCTAGTCGTGACTTGTGCATTCACCACAAATGACGTATTTATATTCACTGATTTCTTAGGTTCTATTTTTGGATGCAAAATGTTGGCAAGCTTGCCCGTCGCTTGAATGACACTGTCCTTTACCAGTCTCGAAATATCATCGAACCCGGGCTCTAAACCATTGTCTTCTAAACGGGAGCTGATTTTTATGAACTTTCTAAGTAAGCGGACTGGTAATATCTTAGCGATTGCCTCAAGAACAGAGCTTGAGTTCAACCCATCCATACAGTTAAGAGAAACGAGAGTATTTCTTTACACTACTAAACCATCCAAAACCTCAGCGAGTTCCTCGGAGTTATTGCTTAGCTGCGCTCCATTACCTTTAACGGTCTCAAAAACGCTACTGGATATCATAAATGGCTTTCCAGACCTTTGACGTAATATCCACATGGCCTCAGTGTATCCTTCGTTTGGGAGCATAATCTTGCAGCACTGTATAGCTCTTGCAGTGACTCCAGTGCAATACCTCAACAAATGCATCAACTTCATTTCGTCATTTATTATAAAACCACTCAACATCATTTCAAACTCTTTCACAAACTGTGGATAGTCGGCTAGGTTTCCATCAGAGTACCGAGGCCCGAATTTTGGTAGCTTGAAACCCCTACTATCACTAGATAGCGAAACATAAACATTAAGCTCGCCATGCTGAGCATCATACACATCACCACAAATAACTGGCAACTCATCATTACTTACTTTTCTGTCTGCTTCCAAAGTGCTACGTTCCTTCTTGTGCTCAGGCATCATTCAAAGTCACTAAAAGATCCGAAATGCGTTGCGATAATCAGTGTCCAAAGATGCTGGTGGCAGACGAAGTAGGTACTCTCCAGAAGAGTTCAGAAAACGAACAGAAGAGAAAAACTGTCAAGGAACTTAACCCTAACTTCCTATTATTTGCGGAGACGCTCTGCATCGATAATTACTATGATCGATTATCGACCTTAACTCCAAAACACCAGCACTTGCAATAACTTGTATTGTTTGGCAATTAAAATCGAAATTCATTCAAAGTCTGTAAACAAACGTTTTACAAAGAATGTACTGTACTTTTTTATTCGTATTGTTTCGTCTTCTTCCAACTAGTACACGATTGAACTATTCGCGTCTTTACGCACCCGCAAATGGCGACCAAGACCAATGAACCGACGTTCAGTTTTCACGTTTATTTACAACTCCTCTTTGAGATATCTTCCAGAAGGTCACTTTTGAAAGTAACATTCACATGTAACATCTTTGGCACAGAGTAAGGTTGTCCTTTGTTGATTTTCAGCTTCATACATTTATGTGTAAAGCGTGATGGATAGCCATTCTCAAGTAGTAATAATAACAGTAACAGTGGGTTTATTTCAAACAGTATTGTTGATACAGTTTGAAAATGTTAACATGGAGTATTAAATTTAATATTCTCTTGACATGGAATGGCGAGGGGATAAACAAAAATAGCAGTTATTGTAGAGCTAAAGTGATATTTACACTTATGAAAATATGACCAAAAATGAACGAACTATAAGTATACTACGAATAATAAGGGTAAACTTGGTGGTATAATGATGGAGAATATTGTTTATTTACTAATGGAAAGACGGTTAGTTAGTTAGTTAGTTAGTTAATTAGTTAGTTAGTTAGTTGGTCACAGTCTAGTTAGTTAGTTTGTAAGTTAGTTAGTTAGTTAGTTAGTTAGTCACAGGTTAGTTAGTTAGTTATTTCAACATTGACACCACTTTCATCACATAAAATACGTGCCAA